GAAACGGGGCAAAGGAAGGCTTACAGAAAAGCTATCTAAAGCCTAAAAGAAAATTCTATACTGCAAAAAAACCCTTTTAGAAAGATATTGATATCTTTCAAAATAATATCAATATTTACCATGCCATGTCTTTTTGGATAAGGAATTTCAGGTCTCCATTTCAGGGCCTACCTCATGTTACCTTAGGGAACATGAGGAACGCTCATACTGTCCCTCCCCCATTGTGGTCTAAATTAAAGCATGACAACAACTTCACCGTGTTATCCTCTGCAATCCGACATGCGCTATTTTCTCCTGCGTGAGATTTTGTCACTGATTTTCACCCTTAGTGTCCTCTTGGGAGCAGTGTGGACAAGTATGTTTATTTTTGTCAAATAACAAACTGAGGGAGAGGGTAAATATGAGAGGATCAGGCCATCTGTTGCACTTCACATCCAAATCGGTTGTAATATCAAATCATTCCTCCCTTTTCAAACCCACACTGTCTCTAGTTCCACCGTGCTTCATTTTCTCATTTTTATCCAAACATCAGTCTTCCTAAATGGAAAAGAGCACAGAAAGATTCCTGCGTAGTTTTGTTGTTTTAAAATGAGTCATGCAGTTTAATTTCTGGAAAAATAATAGTTATTTAAAAAAAGAAAAAAGATGGTTTAAAGCTTGAAATCTATTAGAAAAATAAAATGAGAATGTTTTCAAAATGGCTAGCACCAGCTTTTTAATAAAAGAAATAAGAAAATTAACTGCAGTTAGCATAAACACTGCTCAGCTCCTTAGACCTGCAAATGGTCAAAAGTAGCAACGTATATTTTAATTAAATAGGAATTAACAGGATTTTGCCAGAGTAAATTGAGATGCACTAAGAGGACTACATCATGGTAACATTCAACTGCATTCGATAACGCTCATTAGATTATTTATTGCCATTTGATAGGTACTCAAAAAAAAAAAAAAAAAAAAACCTTAACCACAAACCACATTTAATTCCCAAAACTGTGTGGTAAAAGCCAAGTAAACACATTATAAACTGGGCATCTGCTTACCCAGGACCAGCACATGATTTTTATAATTTTGCAAGTTCCGTTACAAACATATCCAAACAGATGCTGAAGTCATCTGAAGACTCTTCAAAGCAACCGTAATAAATTGGCCTTATTCAGAAGCAAGCATTAAAATCACTGCATGGATGACACCAACATAAAAACATGGTGCTAAGCTTTTCAGTGCATAAGAGAAGGGGCAAAATAAAATAAGGCAATAATACAGATGCTCAGAGCTAGAAATAGCAACCTCTTATGCACATTGTCAGCTGTTACCAACTTCTCTTGCCCAAGTGCCTAATCTGCACTTTTAGTGACAAAACAGCTGGGTGTCACCAGTACCACCTCAGCAATCCAAATATTCAGCTCACTGGCAACCAGCTGCACCCCCATGGGCTGTTTGAGCTATCAGATACTTGGGGGTTGTATTTTGATACCCTAAAACGTGAACTGTTGACCAAGCCAGATCTCTGCCTCTCAAACATACACCCGTGTGCACGCGCGCACAGCGTGCGTTTGCCACAAGACACAGACAGGGTAATGAAGAGCTGGATATCTGGGAAAACAGGAAAACCTGGATAAGATAGCTGGCAACGTGCTTGAGGAATGTGGTGCAGATGCATCCACACGGATCTGCAATTCACCAAGGTCCAGCAAAAGGGCCCACGAAGGCTCAAAACAGCAGAAGCGGAGCCTTGGGGCGGCACTGAAATAGCCCGTGTGCAACTCACCGTGCCAGAGAAGAGTCCAGCTTCTCCCACACAACCAGGGCACGTCCCTCAAGTCCAGCACTGATCCCGAGATCATCGCGGGGCTGTGGTGACTACACAGGGCCAGAGACACCAACCTGCTCAGGACACCGAATTCAGGCACCTTCTTTGTTCAACTTAACAGTATAGAGTGTTTTGGGACCCCACCTGGACCTGAAAGTAGCTTATATGACACTGGTGAGTTAATCAAATGCACCTGCTAATACACTGCATAATAAGGCTGGCTGGATCCAGACTGACTACCCATCTGTGGCCTGACTTGCCACTAAACCAACCAGATAAACCACTCACAGCAAGGAGAGGTCACTGGGCTGGTGAGTGGCACTTTGTTGTCACCTTTCTGGTCGCATACCTTACCGGGTGCGCCACAGCTAAAGTTGCTCGTGCTAGAAAAGCTCCACGTGGGTGCTGGGAGCAACTACCATGTGCAGGAGGCCGACAAAACGGTCCTAATGCAGTGCAACCACATTGCAGCACCATAGTAAACACTTCACAAATTCCCTCTTTTGCCAATGAGGCACTGCATTTTTCACATGCAGCAGATGACAGGATCTGGATGTAGCTACGAAGATGCAAACCCAGTGTAAAACTCAACTGATTGCTGCCCTCTGACAAACTACTGAATAAACCTGCTCCAAACCTGGAGCTGAGTGCTTACTAAAGCAAACAAAAATCAAAAGTTGCTCTGAGAGTCCACCGGCCTGACCCCACAGAAATGAAGGAGCAATGAAAAAGGCTCCCACAATCCAGTTTTTTGTTTTCCTTTGGGATTGCTAGAGCACAAAAAGTAACTCTCTTCTCCTATATAATTTAGTGCGTGTCTTCTTTTCTGGTCTGATTTTCACATTTTCCGGTTCAAAATATCAGAGAATTTACGCATTAGCAATATGACATGGAAGAGCAGATACTAGAGCAAAAGAAGAGAGAACATTTTAATTGAAGAGTATTTAACTTCCGAATAAATTGTTTCACTGAATTTTTTACCCGAGGATAATTTCAAACATCCCTTTCACATTGTTGCATTTTAGGGAAATGCCTGATAAAATAAATCAGAGCAGCTTAAAATAAAAAGTTTTTGAAAAGTCTGTTTTAGTTCTAAAGGAGTTTCTAATGAAAAACAGAAATGGAGGCATTTTTTGTAGTACTTCTGTCAGTATTTCCATAATAACTTTTGAAAAAGAAAGTATTCTTCATGTGTATAACAGATCAAAGAGAAGGAAATATTCAGAATATATGCTCTGACTTCACCGATTGACTCCAGGTAATAACATTTCTATCTTCTATGCGGATATGATCCATGTGGGACCACAGTCAATCAAGGGTATTTGACCTACCACGCTGAACATGACTGTAAGTGAATCTCAGAGACAGGAATGCAGAACGTATGATGCTGAAGCCCTGATTGATAACTCAGAAGTCAGTTATAAATAAATCAGGAACAGTTGGGAGTGACTGTTGTTTAGCACTTTCAGACAGACATTCAGGGCAACTGGCAAGGGCTTTGAAAGCTGTTTCCTATATTAGAAGCATGACAGAAATAGAGGAGAGGCTGCATTCCCTTGTCTTCTGCTAAAATAGCTCTTACTCAAAAACATTTCTACAAGTTTGGCAAGGCTTAACTACTGCACTGTCAGATGCAGAACAAATTCAGTTCTAATTAGAAGTATCATGCTGATCTGCCATAAATATATAGTTATTTACTAAACTAGCAGGAACAATGAGATAAACTGGGTAGGACTAGCAGGTACTATATGCTGATCTGCCATAAATATATAGTTACTTACTAAACTAGCAGGAACAATGAACTGGGTAGGACTAGCAGGTATTACGGACAAGCAGAAGCTGGTTTTATAACTGTTTCTAAACTTCTAAGTGAAGGTGCAATCACATTTTCCTAGCCAGAAAGATCCTAAAGACTATAAAATTGAAAAAAGGAAAGTACACCAACTATGTGTAGAAATATATGCTAATGTTTTATTTATGCAAGAGCACATGTTGCATAATAGTTATGGACAGGAAGACTCAGTTTTGAGAGAGGAACAGGAAAGGAAGAGCATGTATTTTTTGTTCTGTTTTCAAGTAAAGTATCTTAAGTTGTGCTTGCAGGGGAAACTGTTGTCACAAGGCTACCTTGCCTCTAGCTTCCACGTAAGTGTAGTGGGGTTTCGTTTAGGGTTTTTTTTTTTTTTATCATCAGGATATATCCATAAAATACTGTAGCATTTGCTAGTTCATTCACTGAACACTCCATTGTGCTGCCAAATTACACAGTGACTTTAAGGAGCAGTTAGAAGTTTGCAGGATCAGAGAGAGTGCAAAAATATCAACACATAGATCCAAAATTCTGTGTCTAACTTCATGCCACTGTTTCAGATCCATAAGTGAACTCAAATGATACACAAGTTCCCGACTTGATTGAAAACAAAAAGGATACTGTACAGTACCTACAAATTCTTGGAAGAGGACAGGAAACAATAAAAATCAATTGGCATTAGCAAAGCAAACCTGTTTTTTCCTCACCCCAAATGCACCTGCATAGTATTTTGCTGACAGATACATTATTATCCTACCTGCACTTTAGGTCACCCTGAAACAAATACCTCCAAACTAGCAACTCCATGACCAGGGAGTGCAACACCAACCCTTGGCAATTTTGCAGGCTCTTAGCAGAAATGGGTGCTGTGGTTCAGCACCCAACTAACCGCTGATACAAAACTTTGGTTCTGAGCAGGATCACAGCTTCTCAGCAGACTCACATTTCCTGATGAAATACCATGTACCCCATCTACCAGCAAGTTTTAGACCCTGAAAAAAGATCTTGTCTACACAGTCGTTCCAATAGTTTCTACAGAAAACACACTGCAGATTCAGCATTAGAAAACATAACTTCCTCCTAAAGGAAGTTCCTTCCTTCTTCCTTCTAAAATGCAACTTTCCTTCTAAAGTTAACCTAGTATAAATTAAGGCCCAGTTCATGGATTCTAGGCTCAACCCTTTTCACAGCTGGACGTGCATACACAAGACCACATCTTGTTCACTGATCTGTGTTTCTCCCATCATGACAACTCCTAAAAATATGCTTACTGAAAGAGAAAGAATTCATCAAATCCTTTCTTTGTTATGGATCACCACATTGCAGAAATAGTTTCCTTTTACCAGAACAGTCTGCATACATGTATTTTAAGTTAATTACCTTTAGGTGGAAAATATGACTTGCTTTCAGCTTTGTGAGGCCAGTCCACCACAAGAGGTCCAAACCTACGAAAGCTGGCAGTGATCTCATCTACAAAAAACAAATGAGGCACCTTAGAGAAAAACTGAATACTGACAGTGGCAAACATTCTTACTCTAAAAACATTACAGATGGTTTTCCGTATGTTTTAAAAACAAGGAAAATTGAAACAATATACGTATAAAATGTCCAAATATTCCTTCATCTCTGTGTTATACTCTGCTACTTAAAAATGGCTTTGCCTTCCACTAATGCAGGGTTGCAGCAGGATTAAATGCAAACATGATCTATCAAAAGTGAATATGCTTCAGCTGTGGTCTACTTCTAATAATAGCCACAAAGCTGGGTCAGATGCAGCCACCTGGGACTGATGGAAGAACTACATGTCAGCATGGCCACTCCTTGTTGCATGACCTAGAACACAGGCTGCATCAGATGACATGACTGGGGGGGCTACACCTTCCTCTGTCCCCTCTGAGCATTTCCCCTGATCTAACAAATTATTTCTTTGCTTTTGAGGGATCATTTAAAAAAAAAAAAAAAAAAAAAGGAAAACACCTCTCTCAAACCTTTCCACAGGACAATCTGTACATGCAGATGTTTCTGGAAAAAGCATTTTCAGTTCTGTTAATATTTTTGTCTGTATTAGGTCTAATGTGATGCTAGATAAATGAGTGACAAACCATCAAGGGAAAAAAAAACAGTCTGAAGAGAAAGGAAGTGGTTTCCTAACTTTTTGATTGCAATTTGAGATGCAGACAGTTTATGTGACCCAACAAACTGCACTAGAGCCACAAAACACATACACGTCCTCAGAAGCTGAAGGAAAAAGGTGTTATTGTAGTAGGTGTCTCATAGGAAGGTAATAACTCCCAGGTGGCCACGCTGCTTCCTTGTGGGACAAGGCCGAGTGCGTATTTTGGTTCGGAGCGCCCAGCAGTGCTCATGGCAGCA